CACACTGTGTCAAGCCTCTACCATTAACATCTACCAGCATCTTCACCAATTGTCTGTTAAGTCTCATTAATCAGCTCTCCATGTTGAATTCATGGTCTTTTTTGTTCCCTGTTCTCCCTACTGAGTTCCTCGTGGAGGCTCCGAGTCCATCGGTCAACAGATCTCAGGATTGGCTACCCTCATTGGTTGATCTCCCTTCAAAATCAGACCACATGCAGTCTATTGCAGCTTTCATCTCCTTTTGGCCAGCCATTCTTGTGGCCCTCCATGGTGACCTCCATCTTTTCTAGGCTGACTATCATTTCCGCAGTACAACAATCGAACAATTCAATTTCATTCAGTCCCACTTCTGACACCAGTTGTCATGAGTTACTGACTGAACACAGAGTTCATATTGATAATGGAATTATTAGCTTTCATGCAGACTGATATTCCTCAACTGTTTTGTGTGTGAATTCACTGCCACAGAAACATGTTTCAAAAGCCACTGCATAGCAATGAACACCTCTTGTGACATTTCTCTGACTCTGAAATTCTTAGTTTTACACATCATGTCACGTTATTGCATTATACTATTTACATTGTTATATAGAAATGTGTTGAAGCAATTCTAAATTGGTAAATTATGAACCTGCTACACAGAGAAGCAGATACCTTTTTCAGTCACTGTTAATGAACAACCAATATTGAGAAAACCAGAGATGAACATATACTTTTCACATTATTTTTCACAACAATTTTCAACAGTGTTAGTCACATCACTGTTTTCTAGGTTAGTCAAGAAATGACCTCCTCTCAATGCAGCAGCTTCATTCATAAATAAACACTTTGTATGTAGTCAAAATTCTGTATTAGAATTCAAGCTACATAGCAGAGTGACCATTTCAATGGAAATATTATTGTTTTATAATTAGAAGAAGAATTTATTGAGTTGTACATGTACATCATATACATATTTTGGACAAATATCTGAGAACACAAAATGTGTTCATTATAACATTTTATTTTTGGCAATGCTGCTATTCGGGGTAATGTAGAACTAACATGGGTAAGTTAAGCAGTCTGAAGAAGCCCAACAAAAACACATGAGCAATACTGCAGACCTCAAATCTTTTTAACACCAAATCAATGCAATCCAATCAGCAAAGCAGCACTAGTGTTTATCTCGTTTCCTTCCATCTTCTATTAATCTCTGGATGATATATGAGTTTAAAAAGTTATATTCCTTCGTGTCACTACAACATCTGGAATTATATAAAAAGTAAAGTTGTCTCTGTGTTTAATTAGGCACTGTGCTATGAAGGCATATGGGGGAGTGGATGTACAGATCCACATTTTCTTGACCTCAGCACTAGATGGAGGTGAGTGGTCACCTTCACGCCCTTGATGCTTTACCCTCAGGGAAAGAATCCCTGGTACCCTTTGAATAGGAGTCTGGGTGGACTCCAGAGCTGGTCTGGACGATGTGGAATTATATAAAAAACATGTGAATTTAACTTACTGTCCATAACAGTTGCGCTGGAGCACGGAAAAAACATGTGAATTTAACTTACTGTCCATAACAGTTGCGCTGGAGCACGTTTCAGTTAGCCCATAACCTTGGATCACTTTGACACACAAACAAATCTTAATAAGCTCATGAGTATCTGGGGACAGTGGGGCACCACCACTTAGGACCAGCCTCAGTCTTCCGCCCATCAGCTGCCTTGTCTGACCAAATATAACCCTAAAAATGATACACAAGTTACTTGATTAGTTAATAACTTATTTTTCACTTTTTTAAACACCTCTACAACATAGGTGTCAAGGTTTAATACTGCCCTACATGGAAAGGAACAATGAAAAGTATTTCTTTATTTATTTGTAGTTTATTTAATGATACTGACAGTAACTTACACTATATAGCACCATATGGATTATTGGAAATAATGAACTGGAAGAACATGTATGAAACTGGTCATGGTCTAGCTTATTGTACTATCCTGGAATATGGCTGAAAGGACAGAGAAAACCACAAAAAAACTTCAGCACCTAGTCACTGTCCTGCCTGAGATTCGAACACAGCACACCCTAATTAAAAGTACTCTGGCTCAGGATAGGGACCAGTAACAGAATTTTGTTAACACTGGGAATTTCTTGTGTGGCTGAACAACTGTTGACTTCTCAAGGACTCAGCTCCATGGAGCTAGCATTACACAACAGCTACAAGTAACATGTATATTCTAAACAAAGAAATAATGAATCATAATTTATTCCAAATGCCTATGTCGCTTCTTTGAAACTTACTAGACTTCTTTGAATCTATTACAACTTGCTAATGGACAAATAGGGGTTCCAATTATTCATATTCAAATTTTCAAATGCATATAACAGCAGAAATATTGGAACTAACTAAATAGGCCAGGATTTGTTGAGAAACTTTTACAGATCCAAAGGAACTGAAAATTTACCAAATCAATTATAGTTTTTCAAATAGTTTTATTTACATGTATCAGTTAATAGGTGTGTTGAATCAAGAGCCAATACTCAGTATTTAATGATATTAATGTCTGTAAAATTACTGCAACAATTTCAAACATTCAAATACAGTTTCAAAGTTCAGTCATGTACATGCATGCAAGTTATCTAAGGAGGTCCCTAGGACTCAAACCACAATATCTTAACTCCTGGAAATTCAAATCCTCTGCACAAATTTAAATCACCCATACGCCATGCTTAGGCTTCAGGCAAACATATATTGAAATACGAGAAATCCAGAATGACTTTTTAAAATCTACCTCAGTGTTGCAATATATAATGAAATCCTGTTAGTGTTCTGCATTTAGTGAATATTTTTTCTGGTCCCAGTCAAAGCCTAATGCACTGCTTTCTGTAGTTGGTTCATTTGAAGTCAGTAAATAACCTGCATTTAAGACAAGACATTTACAGCATTCCAGAACACACACCTCGATTTAGTGCCAATGTGAACAAAATAACCAAAATTCGCATTTTCTGTTACAAATTTAGTATTATTCACTATGTAACTGTATACCTCGTGTGTGTTGTGTGTGTGGGCGTGCGTGCAGGTAGGTGGGTAGGTGGGTGGGGGTGTGCGCATGCACGCACACACATGCTGAAACCACTTACCTATATATTTAAAGAAATTATTTTATCTTGTGAGACATGCAGTTTCTTGATGTAATTTTGTGCGAGCACATTTGGTGAAACACTGGAGAAGTAATTCCCCAGAGATTCAATAAATAGGGATTTCACTACAGATGTATCAATTTAAATTATTCAGATAAGTTTCAGTTCATATTGTTAAACTATCTCTATCAACTACACAAGATGGTTAAAACCAACTAAAAAGAAAGAAAAAGAAAAAGCATAGTTCTTGCTGAAGCTAAGAATGACCATATTGGTCAGCTAAGATTCAAAGTCCAGTTTTTGAAAACCTACATTAACCTATGACTACACACTAGTTACTATGCGGAGAAAGACATCCATCAATGTTACAATAATACTGCTTTACAGCTTTTGCTGAAAATATATTTGCAATGTGGAAGAACAAAATATACCTGTTCATAAGTGGAGTGTCAAATCCTCTCTTTGTCCATGCACATTTATATTTGTATGCAAAGTTGAACAATGCTTGTGTGAAGTCACTTCCTCTGGATACTTTATCATGTACACCCTTAGATATCCGATCCAGAATTAACTGAAAAAAGTGTTTACAATAACTTATATTAAAAAATTACTTATCCACGCTACAATACAATATAATATCTTGTTCTACCTTGTCCTACCTCATCAACCTGTCACGTTAAGTTTTTTTTTTTGCATAAATGTGATTTGATAAATTGTTAATTCTTTAAAATAGTATAATTTTTTTCATAATCTCATACTGTAACCTGCAGTCCTCAAAAACTCCATTTTTGATGTTGACAATCTCTTTTCATATGCATTTCTAATTCATAACTTTCACATCCATAAGCCACAAGGGCCTTGCCAAAGCTCTGTAATTGTTGAATGTTTGTGCAATAATGAAGTTCTGAATATCTGATTTATTGCTCCAGTTGCTTGTATATACTTTCAGATTTTTCTCATCTTCCTGTGACATAATGCAGCTCAAATAGTTCAACATACAGGCTCATTCCAATATTTCATTACACAAATTTTGCTCCTGATAGTATCTTTACCAACACAAAGCCACGACTTTATCTTCTGACTGATAATAACACCAAATCTAAGGCAATTATCTGTAATTATTTACTGTGTGCTGCACTCAAACTTTGGTTTGACTATAATTATCTGACTGTCTGCAGAGTTCTATTCTATCTAGATATCTTGATTGTTTGTAATCATGTGCAGTTGAAAGTAGAGTATTTATTCACATGATTTATGGACCCCTACATGTAAATAGCCAATTACAGTGGCAGCGTGATCTAAAGCATGAAATGCCTTTGCTTGCTCGAACACTGGGATCATGGATTCAAATCCCACTCAAGGCATTGATGTCTGTTTGCGTTTATTCTATGTTTCTGTGAGGTAGTGGCCTTGCAATGGCTGATCCCCATCCAAGAATTCCTACCAACTCTCTAGGATTAAGATACTGAAGTGAAACAAATGTTTCACAGATGCCCCATGCTCCAAGTGGGAGCACTAGGAACAACAGGCGGAGGGGGAAGGGGAAGAGGAGGAGATATGCAGATAAGAAATTTCTGGAAAATGTTAAATACTGTGGTTAAATCTATGTAATTGCAAGTAATTAATCATGTAATTCACGCTTTAAATACTGCCTACTCCCAAAATGTGCATATTGTCATGTGACAACAGACGGGTTTTTGATAACTGGATTTATTGGACAGTTTTACAGCTCGACATTACACTTTACAGATCACTCTCACACAAAGAGTAGTTCCCAGTCATGTTGCTTGGTAGCAGCTTCAAACAGCAGATTTTCCTCTACTTCCGGGTTCAAATCCTTCCAGGGTGGTGTCCACCTCACACTATCCTCATACTATTCCCACTGGCTTCAGCTGGTAGCTCCCTGGCTGAACTGAACTTGGCTCCAACTGCCAACCTCCAACTTCAGCTCTCAATTTTCAACTGTCTCCTGAGTTGGTCAGTCAGTTAAACTGCAGCTGGCCTTCATAACAGTCACGCCTGTCTTCAGTCTCCTCCAGAGCCATGACCAAGATTTTTATTCCCTCCTAGATGTGTGTTTTGAAATGGGGCCTCCTCCTCTTCAATGAAGGAGGGGTCAGTCTTTCTGTGTAGGCACTGCATTTGTTGCATCATAGTTTCAGCATGAGTATACATATGCTGCCATCGCTTCCAGGTCATTATGAATTCTGTGCATCCTTTGTCACTGCACAATATTAAATAACATTTATACAAGGTATGCTGAGGTTTCCTGTCAATGAAGGCTTATGCAGCAGGTTATGACTTAACTTATGCAACTACTCTGAAACTGCAGTCAGCCAGCTGCCCTGAAGTTTAAGCCTCTTATACTTCCTATGCCTGGCTTCTTGTCCAATACCACGTACATTTGAGACTTGTCAAAAATTCTAATTCTGACAATTTAAAAAAGTAGGCTAGAGTGTCATGTTTTGTCAAAAGCCTTTTCTATATTATATCTCAGCATCCTGTTGCACTCTACACGATAAATGATACACACTCCGTCCCAAGTGCAAACAATATATATTATATGTCTTTGATCTTGTTCTCTTCTACACTACATGTTTCTATATCAAAGAACGCAGCAGCTGTCGACTTACTGTTGTTGAAATTTAGGGTGATGTGATCTGCCAGCTCAAAAGCCAAATTGACTTGCATTTAGTAGTCTCTTTCTTCAGTGAGTTTTTGGATTCTTAAAATCTGCTTCTCAAATAGTTTGCCGACAGTGGACAAGAGGCTGCTGAACAGATGTAAATTTGAGGGAAATTTTGGACCTTTGCTGGGTTTCAGCAGAGTTGTGATTTTTGCCTCCTCCCAAGGTGCCAGGAAGTGACCAAGCCAAAGGCAATGATTGAATAAATGTACTAAATGCATAAGAGGTGTTCTTAGAATATGCAGGAGACATTCATTTGGGGTTCCATCAATTCCTTTCCTAATTTCAAGGACTGTATTCCTTTTCAGACGTCACAGGGTCAGAAACTACTGCAGGGATATCTTCATCAGCAGCAGCCAGGAGAGCTTCGACTTGAGGCCCCATATGATGTCTGTGGTCACAGTTGCACAAGTCATGCACTCTGAACTGGTTTTCTTAGCAATCTGTGATTATGTTGGTTTTATCGATTGGATAAAATATGGGGCCTAAGGGACCATGAATTGCTGATGGTGCCTTTGGTCCACACCTTTTTGAGAGGGATTTTGCTTGAGGTGTGACTTCAGTTTGCCAACTCTGTTTACCATATTTCACGTGCTCTTTTCCAGACTATTCTCCTGATATTTCGAATGACCCAATTTACTGCTGTTCTACATGCTGGATCCCTGGTTTCTTGCCATAATTTCCTGAGCTTTCTTTTATGCTTTAATAAACAATCTACGCCAGGTAGTCCATATTTCTGGTCTAAAATTGAGGTTTTAGTCTATTTTGGTCTATATGCTGTATGCTGAGGCTATAGAGGCTGCAAAGTCACATGCTACTCTATCAACTTCATTAGAAGAGTGAATTTGGATATTTGAAGATACAAGTTCAGATGCAAACCTTTGAAACAGCTCCCAGTCAGTTTTTTTCAACTGGATCTAAAGCTTCCCTCATTCTAACAGGGTCCAGAATGCTGAACATTCTACCCATTCTGGGGTCCCCTTATATACTGCTTCCCACAGTTCCTCTACTGTTACATGCATACCTGTTGCTGTGAGAACATGGCAGAGACTGCATGGAAAACACCAAGTCATGTGTGGTTACCATGCTGTTCCCTAGCAATAGATGTTTCTTCTGGCTCCACAATTCCTTCTTTGAGTGAATATGCCACAATATTATGTCTGAACAGATAATGTATAGGCCTCCAAAGTACCCTACACTGTTTTTAGACTTACTCATATCATGAAATATAGACACAGGGACCTGGTGACATCTGTAGGCAGGTCACAAGATGTTCAAGTGAAATAGTGATGGACAGAAACCAATGGACAGATTGGGGATCATTCTCCATGTTAAGAAACAAGGTAGCAGATCTGAAGTTGGAGTGATGACTGCTCAATTGATTCCACCATCCTATCATCTAGCACACCAATAATGATGAGACACTGCAATGACTGACTGATATGTGTAAGTAACTTTCAATCATTCCCCACATTGAACCTGATGATGAAGGCAGAGCAAGTCCATGAGATGTTTAACTCAAGTTTGATGTGGCTTATTGCATAAGAAGATTGTAGTCCTGTCCTTTAACATTTACACTCTTCTACCAGAAATCAAAATATGTAACCTGCACTGCAATCTCTGAGGCCACTTGACCCTTAGTTCCACCACTCAAATTACAGTTAATCCATGAAGAAAGATACAAAATCACGTTGTGTGAGACCGGGGGAATACAGTGGGAGGAAAAGCTGATTACAAGATTAAATTTTATATTTATTAACTGCAAAAACTTAAAAAAATTTATAAGAAGGCAGTCTTTTGAAGGGTCCTGAATCCAAGGGCTACTCATTGTCACCAGAGAAGAGACTCCGCTCATATCCCAGGATGACTTCAAAGTACAACATATTAACTCATTAATTGCCAAAACCAACGTCAGTTTACTGTAGAAGCTGTTATTTAGTCAGCTCTAAGTAGAATTCCTATCTCAGGTTACTCAATTCAATTTTGCTCATTTAATGTTCAATTTCAGTGATCCCAACACCATAATCTCAATGTTACAATACATCCACTGACAATTATTTTCAGTTTAGTATTCAGATTTGCTGGTCCTAAAAGAAACCTTAAATGAGGGTTTCACTGTATTTATCCCATGCACCAAAATAAACAAATATATATATAATCATGTATTACTTACGGGCACTGCAGTGAGACATGTCGGTCGGAGAACAGATGCATCTCCTTTAGTTCCCCTTTTAATCTTGCTTGAACTATCGATCATGGTCAGAGGAGTTGAGTACCCAATGGAAACCCCACAGAGTAGGCATACAGATTCTGAAATGCAAGTCAAACAATTTTTAGTTTAGTTGTTAAGGAAAAATATACTTTTTGGTAAGTCTGTCTTTTCCCAACTGATCTGAAACCCAGCTCTGGCATCATTATGAAGGGGCCAGTGTCCCTACAAACAATGGACAGGGATCCAATTCACTGAAGCCAAGGTACTATGCTGCTAAGATGAAATGAGGTTGTGATCACAGGTTCACTAAAGGTGCCCTCAGGGCACAAGGCAGCATTCTGTTGTATTTATGCCTTCCATTCATATAGGGCTCTGCACGTGGTAATTTTTAGACCCTTGTTAACCAAGGGACTGAAATGGAAACTCAAATACTTTATGAAGAACTAATCACTTTCCTTTGATATGATACGGACTGTATAGGAAACAAAAAAATTGGGGTGGGGAATGCAGACACATAGATAGCAAGGCTATTTCATAAGCCTCCTTTTATTTTTTTCAAAATAAGAAAAGTAGGCTAAAAAAGGATAAAAAGTCCAAAGCAATCTGAAGGAACTGCTAAAAAGATACCTATACAGAAGAAAGGAGGCTAGCAGATCCTGCACACCACCAAAGGGAAATGGCAATACCAAAAAACTTACAGATGGTGAGGAGATATCACAGGCAAAGACTGATCAGTCATAAGAAATCTGCCAGCAGAAACATGAAGCACCTTCCCCAAGGGGTCCAGTAATTCTGGATGGCATATCACTATAGGGATCTATGAAGAAGGCTCAGAACTGCAAATCAGGTCCTCCTGAGGATCTTTCCCCTTCATTTGAAGATGAAAGCCAAGTCACAGGCAGAAATTTACACATTCACCCACAATAAACAGTGGAAGCCCTACATGTCCACATGGTTTGGGTGAACCCTGCATCTTTCCAAGCAGACTTGACAGCTTGCAGAAAGGTCAGTCAATTTCACTTCACTCTTCTCTTTCAAAGAGGTACCTAAACAAATACTTGAATGCTGTGATGTACAACAGTCATGGCCAAATCTGTAATGCACTTTCCTTTCTTCACAAGGAACACTTCATTAAGTATTATTTAAACACTGAAATGAAAGTCATCAGTGGAGGACAGCACCCAAATTACAAACAGCCAAACATGTGTACAAAAATTTACCAGCTACCTTTCAACCATTAAAAAACAAGATAAAGTCAAAGAATTGGTCAGACACTTTTACGCAAACTCTGGCATCTACAGAACCAATCAAGTGTGTTTAGATAACCTTGAAAAACTGTTTTCATGACACAGGTCTTACCTGCTAGAAGTTCAAATACATGTGCCAGTGGCAAGTATCCCATGAACACATCATCATTGTAAATATACACAGCATCTGAATAGGCTTTCAGAGTGCTTATCATGTTTTTGTGTGTGAGGACCACACCTTTGGGAACCCCTGTAGATCCACTTGTATACATGATGATGGCTGTATCATCAGGGGAAGGTGGAGCTTCCGCTGAAACAAAACTTGCAAGTTAATCCAAAGAATTAGACACTTAAAATGTCTACTGTACTGTTAAAATAATGTAACATTTAGACCCCCCAGTGTTGAAGCTGCTGGCCTGGGTTTTTAAATGCTCTTAAATGTCTGAAATACAGTGTTTCAAAAAAATAAACTGTATTTATTGCAATTTTAAAGTTATACGCTCCAAATTAAAACTGGATTGTTCAGAATTGATCTATTTAACTATACACAGAGTTTTGAAATAGACTATACACACACACACACACACACATACATTTTATGTTTCTTTCTGAAAAATGTTTCATTATTTTCACGTGTTCACGTCAGTGTGGTTTTATATTTAGGTCTGAAAAGTGCCAGAAACTTTTGATTGCAGCTACACATCGCAGTACATGCAATTATCAGTACATACAGTCAGTACATCGCATAGCAAGCTGCATTTTAATTTAGGTATAATTTGTTCAATATGTATTTTCCAAGACAGTGTACTGTCTACATGTATTCCAAGGAATTTTGTATCAAGTACTTTACAGATTAATTTGTTGGCATAACTGATGTCCAGATCAATTTGGTGGTTGTTTTTAGTTGTGAATGATATGTAATGGGTTTTATCAAAATTTAATGAGAGTAAATTGGCTTCGAACCATCTGTTTAAGGCTTCAAATACAATATTTATGTCATTTTTAAAGTTTTCAAATTTAGAGTTCTTAAATATTATACTAGTGTCATCTGCATATAGAATTGGTTTAGATTTATTGTTGATGGTTTTAGATAGATCATTTATGTAGAGAAGAAAAAGTAAGGGACCTAAAATTGATCCTTGTGGAACACCGTGCTTTATAATTCCCCAGTTTGAAAATGCATTATGACTGGAGTTTTTATTATTTATTTCAACTCTTTGATACCTGTTTTTGAGGTATGATTTGATCCATTCATTAGCTTTGCCAGTTATTCCATAGAAATTTAATTTCGATAGTAAGATATCATGATTAACACAATCGAAAGCTTTTGCTAGATCACAGAAAATCCCTCCCACAATTAATCTGTCATTGAGAGCACTTAAAATATCGTTAGTTAGTTCATAGGTTGCTTTTTCTGTTGTTAGGTCTTTCCTAAATCCAAATTGCTCTTTGACTAATATGTTGTTAGAATTTAAGTGTTCAAGTAGTCTATTATACATAACTTTTTCAAAGACTTTTGAGAATGAAGTCAATATGGATATTGGTCTGTAATTAGAGATGCATTTTCTCTCTCCTTTTTTAAAAAGTGGTTTCATTACAGCATATTTTAAGCGTTGAGGAAAAGTACCTGATGATAAAGATTTATTACATAGATGATTCAAGGGTGAACTGATGTAAACAGAGCTTGCTTTAAGTAATTTGGTAGAGATTTCATCATATCCATGTGAATTTTTGGGCTTAAGGGATTTAATAATGTTTTCAATTTCCTTCCTTGTTGAGAATTTGAGATTGATATTTGGAAATGAATTGTTAAAGGCACGAGACAGATACCCAAGGTAAAGGTAGGAAAAAAAGTAAAGTTGTTCCTGCGTTTAATTAATTAAGCACTATGCCATGAAGGCATATGGGGGACCAGATGTATAGATCCATATATTCTTGACCTTGGCACTAGCTGGAAGTGAGTGGTTAGCTTCACGCCCCTGCCGCTTCAGCCCTGGGGAAAGAGCCCCTGGTACTACAGGCCACAGAGTTTGTTTTTTGTTTATGTGAGTCACTGTACCTTAACACTTCAGTCCACCAGCAGCTGTCACTGTAGAATTATTCACCTATGTTTTATGCAAGCTGTTGGCATGTGGCATATGGGTACTAATATTATGGGCGGTATCCGAGGACTCTCATGTAAAGTGGTCCCAAGTTATCAGAATTTTGAATGAACCATGTTAACGTGGTGAAGGATGAAGAGGTTGTGATACAGATGAATATGAATATTTTGCAGTTCTTCGTGATCATGACTGTGACAGATTCTCGTGTAAATACATATGTAATTCATGATCAAAAACTCAATACACAAACCCAAGCTGTTGTCTACCACTCTAGCAATCTCCAACATTCATACCAAAATATCACAACCCACAACTGGTTTACATCAAATGGACTGGTAAGTGTATTGAAGGAAAAGGGCCTAACTTACACTGGAACTTTGAAGAAAAATGTAAGAAAGAAATCTCCAGAACTTATGCTGCGCACAAATCGAAGTAAATATCAGAATTTCTGGTTTTACCACTGACAAAAATTTGGTTTCACATATTAACAAAAAGAACAGATTAGCCATCTTAATATCATTCATGCACCAGCAGTAGCCACGAAACCAGAAATAATCTTCATTAAAGTGTAAAACTTACATACCAGTTTTGAATAATTTCACATTAAGCTTCTGCACTAATAGGTGTCAAGATTAATTACACTCTGGTCCCTGTCATTCTATTTGCTACATACGACACTGTACGGAGCTAAGTTATTGTATTTCATTACTATCTCCTTTACTCTATGGTACATTAACAAACTTGGTCTCCTTTACAAAAGATACCCTTTCTTCTCTGGTACCTGTTCCTGTAACATTTCCATTGTTGTTTTCTTAAATTCTGGCATCCACTGTTTGGTTTCTTAACATGCATGGTGATGTTTCAGCCTCATGCCCAACCTCCAACCTGGAGGACTTGGGACTGCCTCTAATCTTCACCCAATCTTTCAATCTACTTAGTTTCTGTGACCCTACCAACTTATATCCACACTTGCTTTGCTCTCCTGATGATCATGACATGTGAACTTCCCCATGTGCCAGCAGCAGCCCAGATTCACACCATGTGAAAAAGTATTTCAAATAAAGCTACAGATTACAATATCAGGTGTCTTTTTTTTCTGGGGGAGGGGGGGAGGTGTACAATGAAAAATGCCTAGGGTGGATCTAGCCTCTAAGTTAGCAGTATTGAGGGAAGAGCTGTAACTTTTCTGAACATAAGAGTAGCAAACTCAGGAACTCACATATATCAGAGGATGCTCCATTCTTTACCACCTCTGAGAACGGGATGATATCGACACCATCCTTAAATCCAGAAATGTCAGTCTTTGCCAGCTGATCTTCCATATAAATAAGTTTCTTCACTCTTGGAGTATTCGGTAATATGTTCTTAAATTTGGGCAACAGGTCATGTGATGTAATAACTAACGATACTTCAGTTTCATTTATACCATGTGCTATTGCATCATCACCTAGTGTAGCATATATAGTTACCACTGTAAAGGAAACAAATACCATCAGTACTTTCATTAAACATACTTGTAAGCTCTTATGAACACAACAGGTATTCAGATTACAAATGAAGTTACTTAACCACTTGAGAGACTGGTAGCCTTTCAAGGACTCTGCTCCATGGAGTTATAACATATCTGGGCACTATGTTAAATCATGTGGTGTTGATTAACAGAACTATATAAATCTTTCCATCATACAATGTTCTGCAGCATTCACCAAGCGAGAAACCTGCTTGCAGATGACCAAGCCACTTAGTGAAGACGTCTGTGGATATTATTCTTGAGTAAACTGTCCACAGTATTATTAATTTATTCTTCTTGATCATTAACTACTAGTTTTTTCTTAATATGCATACTGGTTTGCCTTGTGTGCATAACAAGTGATACTAACTGGATTGCAAGGTATATGCCATATGCCGATTGGATGGCATGTGTACTGGGAAGAGAATGTGCAGTCTATGATGTAAAAATTTATAGTTATATTCAAGCACATCCCCATCATTTCATGCCAAACTAGATCTAGAAACCAATGATTCTACAAAATACAGGGCTCACCATCTGCACAAACACCCTTTGTTCCATGCACATTACTCAGTCTGACAAATGGAACTGTCCTTTAAATAATGAGGGACTATCTTACTCACCAGGAATGTTTTGTTTGAAACAACCATGGGCTGCAATAAGCCATTCAGCTCTAGTTTCAGCAAAAATTACTACATTGGCTCTGGAAGGTTGTCCAAGTAACCTCAGGCCACGGCCGAAACTTGCTGCAAGTCTCTCAACCTCTACAAATGTTTTCCATTTGTATTCACCCATCACATACTGCAAATATAACAAAATTAATGTGAGAAAAAGTGTATGAACTAATACTAAAACTTCTGAAACATACTAGAAACACATTAGGGAATCTTAATGTGCACCAAATTATATTCTTTTACTGATTATAACAGAAAAGTTGCCAATGTGCATTAAAAAGTATACCGTTCATTGAAACACTATGCCACAAGCTGAGAGATCATGGGTTCAATTCCCTATGAGGACACTGGATTTTTTAATTGACCTAATCCTTCCAGTTGCACCATGGCCCTGGGGTTAACTCAGCCTCTAACAGAGATGAATGCCAGGTATCTTCCTGGGGCGTAAATGGCAACCTCAACATTTCATAACCATATGGGACTCCACAGCCTGTTACAGGGAGAACTTTACCTTTTTTCTTTCTTCTTTTCTTTCTTTCTTTTTTTTTTTTTTTACATTATATCCATGCAAAAGGGAGCTGCTAGCCTAATTAAAATCTATTACAGTGTCTTTTTGAACCTGTACACCTTGATCTATTCTTTCTGATAGTAACAATGTCATGAATATTAATGGAATAAAATTGCCCTCAGGTAATTTTAGGAGTTAATACACAACATATTTTGTTCTGTGTATTTCCTGCAGTTTAGACTTTTAGGCAATTTAGACAAATGGTCCCTAACTTTTTATGGCCAAGGGCATACTTGAGAGTTCAGGAAAGTGTGGCAGGCACTGCCCAATTACAATAACCTATTTCCTTTTAGGAGCATATAAATATATGGACACCAAATAATAAACAAAACAACACATTTAATGTTACAAGAAACTGTAAAACAAAAAAATATGTTTTTCATGTAAAATTTAATAATTAAATTCTCTGACAAGTCATTCAATGAATCTGTCAAACATCTGCACTCACATGGGAAGGCTGTTAATGTGATCCTTGGTATTGAGTTTCAGCGGCGATATTTTCAGAGTTGGGAAAGCATGGTGATATTCCTTTTCATAAACCATCATGAAGAAAGATACCAGTAAGTCAAGATTTTGTGGTGGTGGTGTTGTTTCACAAGGTTCACGGTTCAAAACAGTGATTTGAACAGGTTAGGTGGATCAGAAATTTAATTTTATTTTGTACACTACACTTTTAAGGAGGGAAACTTTTCTTGGCCAATCACATTACAAAATCTCTCATGTGCTGCAGAGGATTTTAGAACAATGTCCTTTTGAAGTTCCAAAATCTCCAGTTCCACTTCTTATGCCCTTGCTCGAACAAGTCTCCTAATGGCTGCAACAGTGTCCATAACCCTTATCTGATATGTAAAAGGACTTGTTAAAAAAAAGGCAACCATTGGTTCTTTTCAAACTGTTCCATAAGTATCTGTAGTTGGCCAAAATACGGTGATGGGCTGAAAACTGTAGTCAGCATTGGGTTCCTTCTGTGTTTATTTTGGTACAGCGAAGATCACAATTAGGTGCAACAGAACAGAGTGTATTCATTTGGAAGTATATTATGTAACTCTGCTTTTCAACTGAATGAAGGTTCATGCAAATAAGATTGCAGGCCTGTATATATCAATCCACAAGAACAAACACAATTTCCCCCCCCCCCAACAAAAAANACACACACATGTGATCAGCCTTACAACGACCAGAAAAAAACAAGAAAAAAAAGCACTATTCAAAACACCACCATGATGTAAATAAGATAACACCAATTACAACACAACATTTTAAAATTTAACATTTTATATAAGACACTTTGCACATAACATTGTACAATTACTACCAGATGTAAACATTGGCCAATGTATGCAGAAAATTTCACAAAAACAAAGGTGACTGCAGAAAACTATATTTGGCCAAAATTAATTGTAATGACTGAAATAATTAATAAATCATTCATACACAATATGACACTACAATACAATATCTCTAATCACATCCTTCTTAGAAACCCCTTAAAAAGGCAATGAGAATGACTCAGGAATGCTTCCTTCAAAAACTCCTAACATATTTGCAAGCAAGTCAGCAATTTTAAGAAAGCAATTCACCACAGGTCTAGTGAAGTGAATACTGACTTCCAGACTGACAGTTTTGGTTTCAGTTCATTTATTTTCTTCTGTCTTAACTCAGAATCAAATGTGCAGTTAGCATCAAAGGGGCTTTGATTAGTGTGGAATTGACATTGAACATTACTTTTCTTTTGCATTTTAACACTACCAACTCACAGTAAACAAACTCACCTTTCTTCCTGTCGATAAAACAATATGGTCCCCCATAGGCACCGAAATTACAGATCCTTTGTTTCTTATTTGGCTCATTCAATTTGGGGCAAAAAGTGGTAGTTAGTGCAGTAAAGAATTTCAAATATAATTAATAGCAAAATGTGAGAAAATAGCAATACATGATACTTTTGTATATGGTAGCGCAACCAATATTCCACGCATGTCCCATTGCATACTAGAAAGCTCATTAGTCACATCTGGTGAGTGACTTTCGTGATGGGTGGTACATGCCCTGGGGAACTGGGAGCATCCTCCCTAACCACGTCACCAAACCAAGTGGCCAATCAGTCATGGGCAACTGCAAAAGTCTTTGAAGGTGCCATGACATCCAAGGGTACTGTGTTGGGGATTCCAGGTTTACATATCCAGAGAATTGTCACTGCAGAATAATTTTAACAAAGACTGTTCAAAATAACAGCACTGACAATGATTTTAATTATACATAATTTGAATCACTTGGAACTAAATTTAGAATTGAAGACAGAGTAATCCAGACAATATGGACTTCATAAAAAGGACTAATTTATGTATAGGACTGGAAGTAGCATGGTATTTAACTCTAACACACCACATACCAAGGTTTGTGTGCTCTAAAGTTTATCACATTTCCTTCAGCTATATTTTTATTAATGATTCCCTGTCACTGCAGTACAGATGAACAGCAATGTTCACACATTTACTTCTGCATCTCTGAGCACTGGGGGTGGGGATATGACACAATGGAGTGTATCCTGGTTGGACTAGAAACTTCAGTACACTGAATCCTAAAACAGATGTGAAGCATTACTTTTCTGATGACTGGTTGGAAAGGTACAATTCTTTGGTATGGCCATTTTTGCTTAAATGTAAGCTCTATATTCTGTTTCCCCCCTCAGGTGAGGGAATACACCTATTCTGTAGGGTCCCTTAGAAAGAGCTAGCCTCAATCACTGGACCTTAGTTGTCTTAAAAACCAGGACAATGGATAAAGTCCGAAAACCCAATATCTCTGTGTGTTATACACCATCGTCAGAATCCTATAGTAACTACTTTTAAGCTCTATATTGTCTGAATCTGCACCTCCACAACAGCAGCAGCACCAACAACAACAAGAAACCAAACTGCTTGTAACATGCACAGAATAATGAGGTAAGTAACATTAACTGGCAATCTATTAAACCCAAAAAGCTAAATAAAGATTAAAAAGGAATCACAATACCAAAACACTTTTTCTTTTCTTATCTGATATAAATAAAATGAACAGCAGACTTTTAAGAATTATAAGATTAATTTCAGTACAACCAAATTTACAGGGCAAGTTCTGCAAGAAAAAATTGTTACCATGGTAATTATAGTGTGATATATTTGTAAAAATGATCATATTAATGTAAAAAAATGTTAAAACGAAAGGTTTTGTGGCTATGAAAAGTCATAAAGTAAAGGCTAAGAACAATGTCTGCTCAACGCCTCACCTTCTTGAAGATTCGTTTATTTGGCTGAATTTCATCCTCTTCTGCAAGTATCTCTCGTGTTCCCAGACAACGTTTGTGTCCATGCAGTTTTGCTACAAAATGTAACATTTTTGCCATTGTGTCTACTCCTTCAAGTAACAGCTGAACATGAACCTCACGAGGATCTTGCAAACTGCGATATGTGATGGACTTTTCTTCTATGGAAACAGGCTGAGCCTGTTGAGAAGCCAGAAAAACATCACAGAAATATACTTCTTCCACTACATACATATGAGGTCAAAAAATATTCAAAATACCTCAGCATTAAGAGACCCTAAAAACACCTTTTCTGAAATACCATTATATGTCCTAATCTACATACACTACATTTGCTGCAAAGAGAAATAACCAAGCTAACTGAATGGTATACAGTATTATTTTGCCTGTTTGTGTCCAGGATGCACTATTACTCATTCTTACTACAATATATATGTTTTTATATCAAGAAGACATCAGCATAAATCATTAAATACTTCACTAATTATCATTCAATGTAAAAACAGTTTTTCTCCATTGGTAGTATCCAATTAAACATCAACATGCTCATTTATTAAACATATTTCATGCATCATAATTTGTCATTTCAATAAAAATGTTTGTAGCAAAGAATCTTACATAACTAATGCATATCTCCAATACTTTTAATGAAAAAGAAAGTTAGTTGATTGCATGCCACTTGCACTACTACAGACAAATATTCAGAATTTGTTATATGCTGTTGTGGTGGCCAGTAACTCATAAATACACACACACACACACCATCAACTAGTACTCGGTACATTCAAAACATATTATATAGAAAAAGTTCCTTACATGTACATAAGTATTAAGTATAAGTACTGAGCTTTAAATGTTGATTATTCAGTGAAGTTAATGTCATAAATTTCTAATGATACCTACATTCATAGTACACTGCTAAGTTTCAGTAACAACCTTATATTCAAAACTCCATGAAAACGCCATAAACAGTTCAGGGGTTCTAAGATGTGACTGTCACCAGTATACTAATTCCCATTTCATGTTCCATGACTTATGGTATTCCTTCATTTAATGTTCAGTTTGAATGACACACCAAGATCTCATGTTAAATTAATTAATTAGTTCGTTCATTCACCTGTTCTTTCATTCCTTCGTTCCATCGTTCATTCATTTCATTGAGAGATTTTCTTCACTACACTGTTCAAATCCACTGCCACCAAAACAACCTCGAGTGGGAATTTCACTCTGTATAGACATAATATCTTAATGAAACAAACATGTATACTCACTTTTACTCTTCTTGACAGTGTCTTCTTTTCCCATGGCCTTTGCAAAATTAGATATACGGGGTATGTGAGAATGTCACACACAAATGCCAGGGCTTTTATGGCACCTACAGTGCCTTCTATCCAGAAATTTCCCATGTTCCTACAATGAAAAAAGATTCATGAGTTCTACAGCAAAGAGTATTCCATATCTGTTTAGTGAGAGGAGGGCCTATCTAAAGACTGAAACTGGATTCTGTCTGCTCCAAAGGCATACTGGATCTTGTTCAAATACCATTCTGAGATAAGCCAAACATATATATGGTGCTTTTATCTAAACTATTTAACTCCTTATGAAGGTGTAGGGAAGAGTTAACAGGTCTAGTGATGAAAAATCACTTATCACATTTAATGGTCATCAAACCCAGAAGTCCTGATGAGTATCTCAAGATGATAATATTAACATGTTTCTTGTTGGGTTCAATGCATAGATTGTATCTTTAACAACAATTTCATTTTAACATACATTTCTAAATTAATTATCATTACATTTAATTAGAAAAACTATTAGATGGCCAGGTTTATTTCCATTTCATAAGATTTCTGTATATACTTTGACATGAGTTAACTAATTACATTAGCTTTCTCAAACATTTATAAGGCACATTTCACAGGCACAAACTTATCCATGAAATCTTCAACCAATCTGAGTATGCAAACATTACAAATCGATAGCACAGCTTTCTTATAAATAGAGTAAACATGCTGTTACATATATGAACATTGCTATCACATTCTTGATGTCACCAAACTCGCTTACTTACTTACTCACTCACGGAGCTGAGCCCTTCTGGAGGAGCCGCCATTCTGCAGCTACTCAAGAATTTCTCAGCATTTTATGGAACCCGAAGGTTCATTACCATGTTCACAAGAGCCCTCCACTGCTCCCTATCCTGAGCCAGATCTATCCAGTCCATACCATCCCATCCTATCTCTCTAAGATCCATTCTAATATTGTCCACCCACCTACGCCTTGGTCTTCCCTGTGGTCTCTTTCCTTCTGGCTTTCTCACCAGTATCCTATACATAGTCCTTGTCTCCCCATTCATGCTGCATGACCTGCCCACCTCATCCTCCTTGACTTGATCATTCTAATTATACTTGGAGAAGAGTACAAGTTATGAAGCTCCTCATTATGCAGTTTTCTCCAACCTCCTGTCACTTCATCTCTCTTCNATATTCTAATTTTTATGTTTTTGGACAACAGACAAGAAGACAAAAGGTTCTGGACTGAATGTTAGCAAGCATTACCCGAATTCAATCTCCTCTTAATTTCCTCCTCAATCATGTTTTGATTTGTTATCGTCGTTCCCAAATATCTGAACTGTGCTACATGTTCAAAACATCTGTTTCCTAGCTTTATGCCATGATTTTGCCCTGCATTTTGTCGATGAGACACCAACCTATACTTAGTATTCTCTGTGTTTATTTCAAGACCAAACTCTTTACTTGCGTCAATTAAAGTTTGTGTGTTTCTCTTTATGGTATCTACATTATCACCCAGTAGATTTACATCATCGGCGTAGACCAACAGCTGATGTATCCCGTTTAATTTCAGTCCCACCTGGTTTCCCTGGACCTTCTTAATGGCATATTCTAAGGCAAAGTTGAAAAGGAGTGGCGATAAAACATCTCTTTGTTTTAGACCATTATGGATAGGAAATTTATCAGACAAATGTTTACCTATATGGACTTTACTATACGTTTCATTTAAACACATTTTAATCAACCTGACTAGTTTCATGGGTATCCCAAACTCTATCAGAATATTGTACAATACTTCTCTCCTAACTGAATCATAGGCTTTCTTGAAGTCTATGAATAGCTGATGTACTGTCTCATCGTACTGATGATCCCCAATAATTTCATCTATATATGGACTTAACCCTGAAAGAAGAATATTGGACAAAATTTTATATGAAGTTGATAGCAGTGATATCCCCCGATAATTACTACAGTCAGTTTTATCACCCTTCTTGTGAACTGGTACAATAATAGACTCCTTCCACTGATCAGGCAATTTTTCCTTATGCCAAACAGAAGTAATTTGATTGTGGATCTTAGAACGTAATATTTCTCCTCCTGCTTGAATAAGTCTGCCGGAATTTGATCACTACCTGACAATTTATACAGTTTCAATTTTGCAATAGCACTTTCAACCTCAAAAGGGCTATGACCAGGTACTAACGGCTCAGCTGTGTACATTTCTATCTGCCTAACAGCACTGACCCTATGTACATTCAAAAACTGAGAGAAGTAGTTACTCCACCTGTTCAAAATGTTTTTGGAATCTGCAAGCAGATCATCATTTGCATCCTTCAGTAAGTTACTGCTAGGCTGGTAACCCCTCTTAAAGTCATTTATTCCTCTATACAGGTCTCTTAATGTTCTTGTTCTTACTGTTCATTGCAAGCTCATCAATTTTGTCTTTCAGATATTCCCTCTTTTTCTTCCTGAAATGCCTGCTGGTTTCACATCTTATATTGTTCAGATTATCCCCATTTAACTCGCTTGGATCCTGTAACCACTGCAATTTGGCCTGCGTTCTTTGATCTAATAATTTTGAGCATTCTTCATCGAACCATGGCTTATGCTTCTTTGGTTCATAATAACCTAGACTCTCTTTGGCAGACATTTTTATATTCTCTCTAATAGTTCCCAAGCTTTATTAACATCCACCTCAGTTTCCAAGTATTCCAAATCTGTGAACCTATTTGAGATTTCAACCCAATGCTGCTCTTTACCCTCTACCTCATTTAATTTCTTGAGACTGAACCTCTCCATATTAACTCTGTGTGCTGTTTGTTTGCTCACTGCCAGTCTTTCCCTAACCTTTGCCACCACCAGGTATTGGTCAGTATCACAATCTGCTGCCCTGAATGATCGGACATCAAGTATACTTGAGTGCCGTCTCCTATCTATCAAAATATTGTCTATTTGATTGTGTATCTTCCCATCAGATGTCCAAGTACATTTATGAATGTTAAGATGTACATTGTACTTTTGACAGTAAGATTTTTTGATGTGGCAAAGTTTACGACTCTAACTCCATTATCATTACTAATTTCATGCAAACTCTCATTCCCAATTGTTGGTTTGAAAATGTCTTCCCTCCTTACTTTGGCATTGAAATCTCCTAACAAAATTTTCATAGGGTACCTCTGGAATTTAGTTCTTCATAGAATCTATCCTTTATGTCATCAATCTTATCTTCTGTTGGGGTGTGAACATTCATAACAGTATCACACCAGTGACCTTTTAGTATTATATATGATATCCTATCACTAACGAATTCTACCCTCTTAACTGCTGATATGATTCTCTTACGTACGAAAAAAAAACTGTACCTAATTCATGATTTTCTTTCTCCTTTCCATAGAAAAATGTATAGTCTCCTGCTGGTGCAATGCCACCTCCATCCCATCTGTCCTCATGTACTCCCACTAAATCTAACTTATATTTTAAGATTTCTTCTGCCCTATACAAACTTCGTACATTCCAAGTGCCAAATCTCATATCCATTTTCATTTGCTTAGGTCGTTTATCCAAAGAATCTTTCCAGGTCCGAGGCTTTGTGTTCATTTTCGTAACATAATGATTTCTTATGGTGAGGAGTTGTTAGCCCCACGCCCAACCCCAAAGCTGGAGGCCCACCCCTTTCCAGCTGTCCGCGACTGCTTATTCAATATATTTGCAGCTTCCCTCCAAAACTGGAGGGTGTCTCCTCCATCCGCAACCTGAGGACGCACCATACCATGGTGACAGGGACCCACATAACATGGCACCGAACTCGCTACACAACCAAAAAATCTCAAAGCATTTTATGTACCTTACAAATGTGACCATATCATAGTTTATTACGTTAAAATTTAATTCAGATTATCCTCACAAGATTCTAAAACATAATTGAAAAAAAAAAAAAACAAAGTAACACTATCCTTTTAACTGGCCACGGAGGCCCATAGGGTTGTGAGACGTTGAGGCTCCCACAGTTTCTAGACAATTGGCTCACAGATGGCTATGAGACTGTCAGCCTTATATGTCGGCCATCCTTTACCCCTGGGAAGATTCCTGGTATCATTTCTGTTGGGGGCTGAGTCAACCCCAGGGCTACAGTGCGGTTGGAAGGATTAGATCGATTTGAAAAATCCAATGACCTCATCAGGAATCAAACCTGCAAACTCTTGACTTGTAGCATAGTGCCTCAACCAACTATGCCAACATGCATTCCCAAACACAACTGTATAATAATTAACAGAGAGGGAAGACACCAGTCAATAACGTGGCTGGATACAGGACAGACAATTCAGTTCAAGGGAGAGGCATGCTTCTTTCTGTCATCTTGCCTAGACAAGCCATGGGACCCACCCAACCTCTCGTCCCCCGAGTAGCATACACTCTTCCCAGCAGCATGAGTGTGTGAAGTGAACCACTCACCTCAATCTAAACATCAAGGTTCAGAGAATGGGGAATCCTATATCCATAACAGTCACATTCACAATGTGGTTCTTATGTTAAAGGACTACTTTACCATCACCTACCAAAGTTACGTACACATACAGAAAATACTGCATTCTAGTAATTCCCATTAACGTTTCAATGGTAACAGTGGATCTAGCCAATATGTTCATGTCCAGGCAACATATGGCAACCTGCTGGCTGTACCATGAGTCCACTCCAACCCATGGGCTATCATTCCAGTGCCCAGTTCCTCTTTGTCTTCATTATTTACATATACCATAACAAATTCGATAATAAAATAAAAATGTGACCAAATTTAACAAAGAAAAATATACAGTGCTATCTGCAAGCCAAGTACACAGACATTCGTCAATTTATCCCATACAGAAACACAGAAATCTTAAATGCCCACAAAAACATACACTCTAGTTCTCTTCCAAAATCTGTTCATTTACATCTGGCCATTTTCATCTATAGCACCATGTTTGTCTTGCAAGAAGGGAGTTTGAATTCAGAAGGGATTATTTCAAACCTGGGCTGGATTATAAAAATTATTCGGTGTTTGTGGATTTATGTAAGTTAGTAAGCATAAATCCCATATCTTTGCCAATTAGATTTTTTGAAGAAAAGTATAATAATACTGTAATTAGTCTCACAAATTTTGACCTTACCAAATTGTGCCTTTCAACACATAATGTTTGAATGAAACCCAATTCTTCTGTCTGGTCTTGAATTAATGGAGTTCTATAAAATTTTCAATATCAAATGTTATGACACATGCAAATATACACCTTATGTTCAGTTCATGTGAAGTTCACCAATTCACTACATGCCAATGGGCAATAAATACACTTACTGATTACTGAAGAAAATTTAGTAAACTTCATTCAGTTCAAACTGACAGTAGTGAACTTTTCTAGCTTGTACAACAAAGACTTCATGATGCAGTAAGTAAACAAATGTTTATAGATCTCGATCAGTAGAAGGAATCAATAACTTGCCTATTAATATGTGCATATCAAAACTCATTTCAACTGCTTCTTCTGGAGTAGTACAACATTTCCGAAAAATAATTCGTTGACACTCAGCGAGGGAACCAGAGAAGTAACTTTTGTTCTTCAGGGAAACGGCACAAAAATGTTCTCTTTCAGTATGCCTACATTCTGTCTACCTTACTGGTCCACAAACTAACATTTCCGAGTCCACTACTCTTGAAATTCTCTTTAACTTTTAAATTTCCTTGCTTCATTTCACTCTTCTTTAGAACATGGCACTGATTTCAACTGCTGAACAATTTCACATACAGGATTTTCCTTCACATGCTTTGGCAGCACATTCTACAGCTCATTTGATGCCCATTCTTCGCTTCAAATGACCTCTCGAATATACTCGAAGTCTGGAGATTATGTGATGAGACATCCTGCACTATAGGTATGTCTAATAATTACTATGTTACTGTATTATGAATTCTGAATACTGTTATAAATGGACAATACTGCTGGCAGATTTTTGATAACAGAACGCATGAGAACAAAAACAATCAAGATCCCACCACAGGCCACAAAGATAAAATTGCTGTATGCAGTCTGGAACCTATTTACTTTTCCATGTATGACTATTTATGCATATTAAGAAATTTATTTTAATATTACATATTATATTTACAATTACTAGAGCTGGGATAGCCCACTCGGTATAGCAACTGGCTATGGGCTGCATGACCGAGTGGTTGGAGTTCGAGTCCCGGTAGGGTGAAGAATTATCTCTTCTCCAAGTCATACAGACCAGCTCTGGGGTCCACCCAACCTCCTACACAATGGGTACTGGGGACTCTTTCCTCGGGGGTAAAGCGGCCAGGGCGTGAACCTGACCACTCACCTCCAACTAGTGCCGAGGTCAAGAAAATTTGGGCCTATACATCCACTCCCCCATACACCTTCATGGCACAGTGCTTAGTTAAACACAGATTGAATTAACCTTTATTTACAATCACTTGTAACCCTAATATACACATACACATACACATGTGCATACAAAAACTATAGTGAAAACTATGGCAGACTGCTGACAGACCACAGATGTATATCACTGTTACATAACAATAATCAAATTAATTATAAAGGTACTGAAACATCACCTTCATGCTATCATATGCAAGCATGGATAACAGTTCAACCAAATTCAAGCATTTACACATGCAACTTCATGGAAATTGAGATATACAGATACAGTGTTTTTAATATTTTACTCACTTCTCTTCAAACATGTTTTGGTTTGCTGGAACAAGGGTAGAAAAAATTAGACATTTAACAACTTATTTCAAGGTTTTGTACAAATGGATCCAACGACTAGATACAAAGCAAATGCAAGATTTGTAAATAAATCATCCCAAAGTGAGACTGTGCACTGTGTTATTGCAAACAACTTAGAATGGAAATTACTCACTCAACACGACTATGAGAAGGTCTGTCACATAATTCTGTGGATGAAAAATTTGTCAGCAGATGAAATTGAAGAGTAGCTGGTTGAAGTCTAAGAAATAATATGTTATGATATGGCAGTGGCAAAATGGTGCACACATTTACATTAAGGAAGTGTGTACAGAACTGAAGAAATGGTTGTCGACACTGCTAATGCAATTGTTGATAATATTAATCAACTTTAGGATGTCATAATAACTATGACTGTTGGGTACCTAAGGCATCAACAAAAAACCAGAAGACTGAACAAATGGCTTGCAGTTCATATTTCCTTGTAAACATTTTTATGAGTGTCCATCTGCATTCCGGGTTCAATAAATGTACATACACTGTATGAGCACAAATATATAATGCAATGATTAGTGCATGGTAAGGTTTAGTGTATGTACCATTAGCAGGTAACCCTTATCTGAAGAAATATATTGGAATCGTTCAACTAAAAAGACTATACATTTTATATACTTTAATTTCCAACAGCTTCCATACAAAGTAACATTCCAAGTTTCTCTTTAAGTACATAAACTTGCATTGTAGTGATGTTTATTCTGTAAGATAGTAGTGAAAACACTTCATATTGACTTGTTTCATTTTATTGAAACAAGAAAATATGAAGTAATTTCACTGTTGTCTTTCTTATTAAACGTTATCATCATGGATGCTTCTTATACATGGATACATATTATCGCTTCTCTTATTTGTTGTTTACAACAAAGATAAATTCAAATTAAATTCTGATGTCTATAACATGAATACTAGACAAAAATACAACTTCCACCTACCCTCATCAACTTTATCAGTATATCAAAAAGGAGTCTACTTTACTGGCATAAAAGTGTTCAACAATCTGCCACAAAGTATTAAAAACTTGGGCAATGATACTAAAAAGTTTAAATCAGAGTTAAAGAATTATCTACATGCTCATTCCTTCTACTCTTTAGATGAATACTTCAATGTAAATAGAGAATGATGTAAAATTAAGTTATATTAATTTTTAAGCTAAAATTGCCTGTACTTATGTATGTAACATTTTGACTTGTTCTGTATCCAAAGGTACTAACCTGCTTAGGATTTATAGAATGTAAATAAATTCAATTCAATTCAATTCGTACCAAAAGTCTAGCAACTCCAAAACACTATTATTATGGCGATATGAATTGCTGTTGCTAGATAATGGTTAATGCTAGTTTTGTAAATGTACAAGTGAACAACTCTCAGAAACAAATAATGACAAATTGCTTTCATTGTTTACTATGAGTGACAGCCAAATGGAGTAGGGATATGGAAGTTTTTTCTTCAGTGTCCGAGAAAAACTGAAAAATCTTGACGTAGTTTCTGGCCACATATGAACCATATAACTCCAGAATATAAAATAAAAGGCATTTTTTGTGACAACTTCCTTGGTTTAAAATTAGAAAGTGCTTGAAACGACTCAAGTTTTGATGTACAATTACACACTCAAAACAGCATAAAAATGTTTAGAGACAATAATACTAATTTAGGAAGTATGTTTACATAAACTAATAACATTACTACAGTCACAGAGTTCAGTTCTTCAAAACCCAAAATGCACCAAAAATGGGGAACATTTCTGATACACATTTGTAAGAATAAAGATACTCGCCATGAAAAATTTAATTTGAATTTTTGAGCTGACACCTGTCACCTGCTTAAGTTTACCAGGTCTGAATTGAACCATAGACGGTCAACAACATGGATTTCACTACATTAAAATGATTGCACAAAATTACATGTACATGCAATGGTGAATTAGACAGAAGGAATTATATATAGGGCAAATTGACATCTATGGTCCTCACTAGGTTCAATTTTTCCTTTATAGTCAACATTAAATTCACGTGCAGCTATTCATTATTAGCTGATACTTATTCAAACTGGCAAGAGGTCACAGTACAAGTTTAACTAGATGAAATAAAAATCAATATTCAAGGCTTCAGTGTCATTACATGCACCAAAAGATTATATACAAATTCATTTATATATGCTTCAAAGTCGTATTTTAATATATAAAACATATCTGTTTCTGTTTTCTGTCTAAACTCAAGACTTCTCTTTTTCTGAATTGCGATCTTTTACTAAACTGAAGCACGTTTTCTTGTAGACTGACCTATTGGGATCGAGATAAGTCTTCAGTGGAACTTCAATTTTACTTTAACTAAATACAAATTTATAATCCAGCATACCTATAAATTTAAGAACGAGGACGCTTCGTTTAATTATTATAATTATAATATAATTATATTATAATTGATTATTATAATAATTAATTCTTATAATCTCTGGATGTGTTCGGGAGACCACTGCTGATTGTTAGATATACTAGTTCGGAAATTTAAGCACTGTGAATATCTCGAAAATCGTCAAGACTCGTGGGAAAAGCTCGGTGGGCACAGAATATGTACTTCATATTTCTCCACGAGATTTGGAAATAGTATTTTCTATCAAAAATATTTGGCGAATTACACGCAGAAGCATTGTTTTCGGGGCAATGAACGTTAAAATTCTATCTAAACCGAACGACAATTTTTCGTAAAATGTTCAAATGTCAAATTTTATGAAAATCCGTCCGTAGGTTCTCAAGCTGTTTCATGCGTAAAGACGAGCGGGTGCGTTGAACTAGATAGGAGCTCCAGGAGACTGCGAACGCATGGCAAAGAACGCCTTGTGCGGGGGGTCGTGCATACTCGTGAATCTGTGACATACAGTAGCATCTATATCCATAATGTGTATATATTAACAGTCTTCAAGTGCATACAAGCCCATTTACCACTTCTACACCACATGTTTCGGCAGTATGATGCCATCTTCAGGTGTATCGATCCGTCAACCTTTTCACTGCTTGCCTTTATATGTCCATTTACAAATAATATTAAATTTGTATACGTCCTTATATAATAATAAAGTTTATGTATTTAAAACTTGTTAAAACCTATTATCTCATACGTCACATTTTTAAACTCGTGTGTATTATTATATCCACATGGGGGTCGTTCTTCTTATGTTTCTAATGTTGTGTGTATATTATGTATTATGATGTGTTCTACATCCAACGCACGCAGCCACAAGAGTAGAACACATCATAAGACATAACATACACCAATATCGACTAAACCAGTCACACAGCTGTCTGAGTAACTACGCTGACGATCCCCTTTCAAGGATATTTAAGACAGAGAACGAGGGGCAAATGTGCGGAAATATTTTCATTCGTACAGACTGGTTCAAAAAGGGAGAAAGTTTTCTTTGTGCCTAACATAAAACGCTTAAAATATGCACAAAAGTACAGCGCTAAATGCTACAAGATGAAGAGACAAGATAGGTAGCCAGGTTTAAGGGAGACGGCCATGCGTTAATAAGATTCTTCTGGTTCCGTAAAAATACCACTAACTTCACAGGCTTCACTCTAATCTGATCTATCGCGTAACTCAATGGGACACAGTCCTTCTCGAGAAGCTAACAGTCGCTCGACTGGTCAAGAAATTCCCCGCCATTTATGGAACTTTAAGTTCATTGTCGTATTTAAAAGAGCCCCATCCAAAAAAAAAATAATAATAAATGTATTTAATGTCCCCATACCTTATTTCTTAGATCAATTTTTATATTATCTCCCTGGTGGTCTCTTCCCTTCTGGGCGTGAGATAAGTTTCTGTTCACTTCTCATCTCTCTTGTTCGTGCCATAAGCTTCATCCTCATCTTCCCTAATTCTGTCACCATAATTCTATACCCGCAAATATACAGATATACTCTAATGACTAGTTAGACCGCTGACAGACTTTAATAATTAACGAACAATTAACAAGTCACGTTGAAATAAACTGTTAAATCGAGAACCATGGGCTTAACGGCTGAACTTCTAACGCAGAACGGGCTACGACTCTCCCGCAATTTTGGTTTTACTAGTACACAACTGGTAAGGTTTCTGTCATTAAAAAGTAAAATAATGTGCAAACAGGGCGTCATTCGCAACAGAATATCGCAGGTACTGGTCAAATGACTTTGAATTCCAGGGGAATCGCGCTTGACGTTTTTACACACAATTTTGTGCACATTATAAATCACAGAAGATTCGTCCGGGAATTCTTTTACCTCCGTTGCAAATAGGCACAGATATAATACTTGGTATTCGGTAAACTGCGGTAACACGACAGCCTTTCCTATTAAAACCATACGACCCACATCAATGAATTTGGAGATGCAAAGCCCCAACGACAGTTTATGGCAAATATCGAATAAGTTACTGATGAGAGTAATAGTCACATACTTACGATTTAACTTCGCAGAGAATTCTGAAAACTGAAACAACAGAAACTGCATTCTATTACAGATTCATAAATCAAAGTTTAATTCACTGGCAAATGTGGGCAGTTCCGTCATATTTTTGTCTTGTGTCTACTTTTACCGTCCAGTGAATGCAGCATATGGTTTACGCAACTAGTGAAAATCATTTTTGCTCTTTTACATTAACGTCAGAATGTTTCAGAAGACGAAAACTCGTGAAAATCAGCCCGTTCCAAGACTGCAACTTATTCCACTTCTTTAATTTTTATTTTCTGCAAGTCCTGTAATGATAAGTATAATCTCTTTAATTACATAATTTCCGATTACCACTGCAACGAACTATCGAGTGTTAGTAGTATCTTGCAGGAACTTTAAGTTGTGCAGTACGTCATAGACGATGGAGCAGTAATTTGTTCTACTGTGTCCCGTATATTCTGCGAACTCTGATAACACTCTGACGTAGACATGTGTAGTTTTTATCTTGGAAAGTAGCACAGTTT